GATTCTGGAGTGAACAGGATCGAGGCAGACATGCTGACTTTATGTGTCAAGTCAGGTCAACCTGTGCACGTGCAAATCAAGATCAATACCTTTGGAGCAGTTACACTGCGGTCACATTATCTGGTTGCATTTATCAGCCCCGGTTGCTCTGGTAACAAGCTTGTACTCCTTCAGTAAACAACAGCCTTTGTTTACTGAAGGAAAAAACATTGCCCGTTTTAATATACAAGCATGTGCAGCAGTCTCACGTTGCTTTGCAGTTATTCCAAAGGTAGATCTCAATTCCAGTGTTAGGTAAATGAAGTACAGTGTAGGCCTCCAGCGAGATCGGGCCCGAATGGTCTCATAGCACAGAGGAAGAACGCGTCATTGTGCACGCCTGGGCCTCACAATACGCACAATACGCCGCCTTGTACTGCAGACGTAACGAAGACCGGCACTGATGTCGTTAACACTGCTGTGCGTCCCCCTCCTGACCGCACCCCTTATCAGACAATTCCCCTGACCGTGCCACACAAACACAAGATCGGCTTGATTCTAACACGACTAACGACTAAGGAATCTCTCGCATTTATTAGATTACTCAAACAATCTAATGACGTCCATGTATCAGAAAATCTGCCTCAGGAAAGCGAACGTGAAAATGTCTTATTTGTTGGATGTACAAGGCCATTGTGAAGGTGTAGCTCCTCTGTTGGATCTGGATAGTCATTGCACCACTTGGCCTCAACAAGAATGGAGTGGAATGAATTCTTGCAAGGCGACCTTCATCAGCACACCTAAATATATCGGGTTCTTGCTCGCTACGTAAAGATTTGTGGAAATCGTTGGTCTTTAATGCTGCCAACAAACGAACGAACAAGCCAACTAATAAAAACGATACCTTTTCCTCACACTTTTGCGCTTGGTGGAGATAATTGGGGTTGGTTGTGATTTAAACTGTAGTGAGTGGGAAAGGCTAGTATTTGGACGATGCTTTAGAGTTCAACTTCTGATATATTTGACCCGTAGGAAAGCTTATGAATCCAACGATGTGTAAATGATGCCATGATATCACGATAAAGCCAATCAATCAGACTGCTCTCATGTCATCACAATGCGGTTTACAGTCTCCGTTCACATTTTGTGGCTTCCCTGCATCTCAGATTTTATCCTTTTTAATCAAATTTATAGCACAGATTATTTTCTACATTGAGGGATTTGGCTGATTATTTTTCCACGACTGTTACAGCAAAGCAATAAGCACAAGCCAGGAGGAAAGAGTGCATCAAAGACACACCACATCCAACATTAGGGATCGTTTCACACTTCATAAAAGAAGCTAAAGTGCAATGTGCCTATTGCGAAGTCCAAAAGGCCAAATTTAAACAACTGCATGTATACTTTAAAATAAACTTGGCTAGCTAATATAAATGAGCCTATCACCGCTAGTAAGAGCAAATTGTAATCCTTGCACCCTTGGTCACGGATAGACTCAACGCTTTCAATTCCTCACAGGGGCATGTTCACACACATCCTGCTGCTTGCCACCGCAACTGACATTGCCTCACACAACACAGAGTGACTCAAAAGTGTAGCCAGTTAACCACCAGCCAACTCGACAGACTCCATTGGCCTTTTTTGTTGTTGTTGTTGATGTTTTTTTTTAACTATGAAGCGCTACAATCTAGATGTGCATCATGACAGTGTAAATAGAAAAAAAAAAAACAACCCGAATGAGATTGGTTTTCTTTTGATGGAAATCTGGCTTTTTTTTTTTTTTTGGGGCGTAATGGTGTGGGTATTTGTTCCGTGTTGTTGCTGTGGAGTTACACACATGCAATCGGAAGCTCTGCACATGTGTGTTGTGTCATGTGTTCCGCGAATGTAAACACAGTGACATAACACATGAGGCAATATCACCAAAAGGTGCCTTTTAGACTTCCTGTTTTAGTCCAGAAAAGTTGCCTTTTTCCTCTGAACTTCATATTCACTGTATTAACAGATGCTGTACTGTTCGAAATTCATATTGGTCAATCTCACACTTCTTTTTCCCCCTTGCTATAAATTAACTGAAAGAGGACGATGTGCATGCAAATAGCAAAAATATTTAAGCTTGCCGACAGGGTGCATGTTTTTGGCTACTGTTAGCATTTAATCAGCACATAGTGGACTTTCACTCAGCTGCGTGATTCAGTTAGCAAGATTTGTGTCTGTACTGTTGAATTTTCAAAAGCTATTTATATCAACTGATATTTCACTATGACAGACAGGACATGTGAAAACAATCAAACAAAAAAAAAAACGAAGTTTGTATTTGTCTTCACTGTGCTGAGAATGACATATATGAGTGTGCATCTCACAGCAGCTGCAGAATGCTGGAACATTGTGTTCTCCTCCATCCCGGCGGCGAATCCCAACTGCACCACCCCGCTTGTTCCTATTTTGACATAAGATCGGACTAGCTGTTATGTGGAGTGTTTTTGTTTAGATGGACAGAATCTATCTGTTTGGGCTCCCAATGGCCCACTATCTTGGATTGCGGTGGGAAGACAAGGCGGCCTTTTAGCTTGCTTCCATGCGTTGTTACCATCAGTTTCGCATGCGTAAAAACAGAGCCCACGTCAGCCGATCCTCCATGGTACAAATGTCTGCGATCTGGACATTGCATTCAGGGCGTTTGAGGTTGGAATGTATACGGTTATGTAAGGGCTGGAACGGGTGTGGTGTCGATGCAGCCTGAAAGAGAGACGGAGGCTCAGGGAGGCTTTTCCACACACACACACCCACACACACACACACACACACACACACACACACACACACACACACACACACCACTCTCACACACACACACACACACACACACACACACACGCACACACACACACACACACACACACACGTATGCATGGACGCAATTTGGATTCTGTTCCAGCGTGCGCTTCTTTTACAGTGATCACGTGTTGTCAGAAGAAGACATTTATGAGCAACATCACAAAGTTCACCACAGGGCAAGGGTCTTCTTTCCATGGCAGCTGCACACTTTAATCTAATCTGCAGCAACAACAGGGAAACAATAGCATGGCTTTGTGTTTCCGTGTGTGTGTGTGTGTGTGTGTGTGTGTGTGTGTGTGTGTGTGTGTGTGTGTGTGTGTGTGCGCGCTTGAGTGAGTGAGTGGGCATATGCATGAATGCCACGGCCTGTTTGGTCCGAGGAGTTGATGAAGGGACCACACCCATTTTGTTGGCTTTTTACCGAAGAGTTCCCATTGAGTGGGAAAAATTTAGATTGGACTTTTTTAGAATACGGTATTGCCTCACATATTAGCAGTTCATGCTTCACAAATTCACCTATTTACTTTTTTTCAGATAAAAAGACTAGAAGCAGAAAGTCCAGACAGAACTTTTTCAATATTGGATACAGTTTTATTGTCAAATGTGCTGTATGTGTAACATAATATAACTTGTTTTTCACAGATGAGAAAGAATATACTCCTGTACGTATTGTTATACAGTATTACCTGTCTGTACATGTTACTGCGTGTGACTATTCATTATGTGAAGGTAATTCCCTCCCAGAACTTAATTTTATGTTACCCTGTCAATGGGATTAGCCACTGAATGCTAGCATTAGCACTGGCAACGTTACGAAAACTTAGTATGTCTTTTGATTTAAATATTAGAAGTGGGCACTGAAATCGTGTTGTCACCAGTCCGTTAGTACCGACGGAACGTCCGAAAGTCAGTCACTGACAACTGACGGTAAACTTTGACAGAGTAAGCGCAGAAAGAAGCCAAATTTAACCCGAACCGTCACTAACCCGAAAAGTGAAGATGAGGAGCATTTTGGGGACGAGAATCAGTCGAGTCGAGATGAGAAATAGTCCCATTGCTATCTGCTGCTGATTCGGAAGTTTCTGAGCAGTTTGCTTTGACATGATAACTCAGGGAAGCTGAAATCCATTTGCGGGAAAAAAATAATAATCGAACAAATGCGCGCTACAGTAGAACCAATGCCCAAAAGAAACACTACAAAACCAATGTTGGGAGTTAATTAATAATTTCATGGAACAAATATGACAAGTTAGATTGGAAATTTCTGTCAGTGTTTCAGCCGGCCCAAAAGGCCCTGCCTGTCCTCCGGCGGTGTAACATTTCAACAGCAACCAATTCCCCTCAGACATTGCTTGGAAATGATGAGAGAAGTCAAAAGTATGCGCTTTGATGGTTGCTTTTAATTCAATCGTGCAGAAAAGACGAACAAATTGTGTCACTGACTGAGTGGAAACTAGCTGCGCATTATGTTGACTGAATCCAATGAGCAACACAAAGAAAGCAAGGACAGAGCGATAATTGCTCTCTCTGTTCCAACGTGAGTACCGAACAGTGGCACATGTCTGAAAACATTCAACAATATTTCATTACATAATCTGCCGTTGTGTGGTGACCGATCCAGGATGTACCTTGCATCTTGCCCAAAGTCAGCTGGGTCAAAAACACACAGGACATCTGGTGCGTTTCTTCCCGTCAGTCGTCAGTGATGGACTGAGAAGGTCCATCGTTGCTCACCCAGTTGGTGACGATTCCGGTGACGGACGAATACCCGCTTGCATCAGCAACATGATATTGGAGGCGGTATGTATGTTTTACTTTTAGAATTTACTATTAACATTAAAAGACTAGTTGTAGATTCATGTTTTATAATGATGACAGTTGACCCTGGAACAAATCTTTCCGTTATTTCCGTTATTGTGATTTTAGGGTTGGAGGTTCCAGTTGTGCACCAACAAGTCATTGTGTTAACGTTAACGTTGTTTGAACAAGGTCAAGACGCCTTGTTATAACAGAGATCATGATGAGGCGTGACACCATTTTGTTGGGTTTCTCGTGTGTGCCTCAGTGTTTCAGCCGGCCCAAAAGGCCCTGCCTGTCCTCCGGCGGTGTAACATTTCAACAGCAACCAATTCCCCTCAGACATTGCTTGGAAATGATGAGAGAAGTCAAAAGTATGCGCTTTGATGGTTGCTTTTAATTCAATCGTGCAGAAAAGACGAACAAATTGTGTCACTGACTGAGTGGAAACTAGCTGCGCATTATGTTGACTGAATCCAATGAGCAACACAAAGAAAGCAAGGACAGAGCGATAATTGCTCTCTCTGTTCCAACGTGAGTACCGAACAGTGGCACATGTCTGAAAACATTCAACAATATTTCATTACATAATCTGCCGTTGTGTGGTGACCGATCCAGGATGTACCTTGCATCTTGCCCAAAGTCAGCTGGGTCAAAAACACACAGGACATCTGGTGCGTTTCTTCCCGTCAGTCGTCAGTGATGGACTGAGAAGGTCCATCGTTGCTCACCCAGTTGGTGACGATTCCGGTGACGGACGAATACCCGCTTGCATCAGCAACATGATATTGGAGGCGGTATGTATGTTTTACTTTTAGAATTTACTATTAACATTAAAAGACTAGTTGTAGATTCATGTTTTATAATGATGACAGTTGACCCTGGAACAAATCTTTCCGTTATTTCCGTTATTGTGATTTTAGGGTTGGAGGTTCCAGTTGTGCACCAACAAGTCATTGTGTTAACGTTAACGTTGTTTGAACAAGGTCAAGACGCCTTGTTATAACAGAGATCATGATGAGGCGTGACACCATTTTGTTGGGTTTCTCGTGTGTGCCGGGGGTGCGGGGGGGGGGGGCATCAAAATCAGCAAGAGATTCCACACCATTAGATGTGCTGACATTACACAAACTCAAGGAATTAATCATAAGGCTGACATGTTTGATTCATCAGCCCCTGTTGATGTTGCCGAAGAGCAAACATCTAAATGGATGGACATGAGAGAGCTCCTTGTAAAGCAAGTTGAGAACGCTTTCAAAACTTTTTGTTTGTTTGTTTCATTCAAGTTTTTGTTGTCACTCCTTTAACAGTCTGCTCACGGGCGAAAGAAATGAAAAGAGAATGTCTCCGGCCTAGAGAGCAGGGCTTCCCCTATTTCTTTTTCCTTTTCTTTTTTTTTTTTCTTTGCTGAGCAGGCTGTTACATAAGCCAATCTCAGTGCCGTTAACAGATGTCCCTTGTAATCTCTGTGCACTGGAACACACACACACACACGCGCGCGCACACACACGCGCACGCACACGCGCACGCACACACACACGCGCGCGCGCGCGCGCACACACACACACACACACACACACACACTATTGAAGACATAGCACTCCTCGCTAAATTATTGTGTGTGCTAGTATATAACACAACGCTTATTTCTAACTACAGTATGTATTTTATATTTCGTACAGAGCAGTAATTCCACCGCTAAAACTAACAAGTCTTACAGTGGTGCCTTGAGATATGACTTTAATTACGGTAGTTCCTCGAGCAGGCTCACCGTTCAAAAAAAAAAAACACACACGTACACACACATGCACCCGTTTTTCTTTGAAAACAAAGCATCGCCGTGGCAACAGCGTGCAACAAAATTAAAAGCTATCAAAACGTTTTCGTTTTAAAACACCTTTAGATTAAATATGCAACCTTTGATGACAAGCGGATAAATTCTGTGGGAGGAGTTACGGTAGTTAAAGTTGGGGCCAAATTCCAAAGAAAAATCAAAATGGCGGACTTGCTTTGACGGTTAGTGTATGACTCCAAAAGGTTTTTTTGTAGGTCTGGCTCCCAATTTTCACAGACCGAGTTGAAACGTACAATTAGAAAAGTGTTGTTAAAAATTTATAGGGAGCATCATTGAGCCATTTATTTCTCGAAAATATTAATATTTATGCCAGGTCTGATGTGTGTTCAAAATCTCATGAGTATTCGCTCAGGTTAGCCCCTAAAAAGAACATTATTTTTCTTGGCAAATTGCGCATTCTCACTTCCTTGGTCGTGCATGGTTACCAAAGATTTTTTTTTCAGCTGAGGGTGACTCCCAAACTTCATAGCCATGGGTCAAAAATACCGGCGGGAGAGGTCTTCATTAATCCTCTATAGGAGGCTCTACAGACCCATTTTTTGTAGTGGTGTACGACAACTTTAAAATCTCAATATTTTTTTTTTCGCCAGGCCAGATGTGTGTGCAAATCTTGGTGAGTTTTTGTTTATGTTTAGGTTCCCAAAAATGTAAATTTTTGACTTGGAATTAGACAGTCATTAGGCAGCGTCAATAGTTTCCCACCAAAGTATGTACAGTACGCACAACCCTTTGTTTTCCCCTTTGTGCAGAAGGAAGGAGCGAGCCATAACAGGGCGCCCTCTCTGTCCTCTGCATGCTAGTCTGTCAGTAGGTCTAGTGCAGACTTGCCCTCCTTTTGAGCCAATCACGCGGCCGCCGGCGCGCGGCAGCCCACCAATGAGCAGGCAGGCCCGGCGGGGGCTCGATGCGGAGTAGGCGTTGACTTCGTATGATGTAATCGAGGCTTAATTTACAGGATGGTCGCGAGGAGTGAACCCAAATCGCCCCGAGAAGCTTAATCGCTAAAAAAGGTAGACTCTGCTGCAACACTTCCATGGAAATGACATGCACAACTTTGCACAGTTGATCTTCTGAACCTAACTTCGGGGAGAAAAAAAAAATGAAGGCAAATACAGCATCAGTGTACACAAAAACACACACACACAAATTTCAAATCTGGCATTATGTTATCAGTGCCGGAAGATAAAGACGTGTCTGGACTCCAGTAACCTTTTGTGTGCGGGGAGAAGTGGGGGTGGCAGTCCATGCGTTTACAGTGTGCTCAAATGCATCCGTACATTGGGGCCGAGTTGAAGGGGCTCGACGGGTATGTCGCGCCTGTGTCATACACGGAAATATCTCAGCATCACACTTTGACACCGAGCGGCTAAGAAGTGCTGCCAAACGTAACAGGATCCACAGATTTGTTTGGAAACTTAAAGTTTCCTTTCAAAATCAACGTTTTCTTGTGACATTGTAACCTCAAATTCTAATTGTTCACAGAGAAGAGCATAAAAACAACAAAAAACGACTTATCATTTCATGTTGGGCACTCTCAAATCATCTTTAAATACCCTTTCAATGTCATCTTTTTATTTTTTTTAAATTTTTTTTGAAGGTTCATGGGGCCTCGATCAGTATGTCCCACCTGTGTAGCACACTAAAATCTCAGCATCACTTTCACACCCAGATGTCAAACCGTGCTTTCAAGGCCATGTCATTCTTCAACATAAAAATCTTCATGGCCTCAGCAGGCATGTCTCGCCTATATATTACTAGGCATGTTCGATCTCACTTTTTTCAGACCGATACAGAGTACCAATACCGCTACTCCTTTTGATATCTAACATTTAATTTAAAACAAGCACAAAAAAAGTGTGAACCGACCTTTCCTGGGCGCAGAAGATGATTCGCCGAGTGTCAAACTGCTGCAGTATCGCGCCAACTCTTGCTGAGGAGGATTTACTCAATGTCACCCCCCCATAAGTATCAGCGGCTGGTATCGGCAGTGAATACATACCTTGAAACAAGGCCTTCATATGTAATTTTGGGTCTGACAAACCTAGTATGGAGTACGCATAAATACATCAGCTTCTCAGCATGTCAAACTCACCTAGCAAACAAATCAATAAGTCTTTAAATGTCTGTCATAGGGCATTTTTAATATTAAAAGAGGTTCTTGAGGCCTTGAGGGGTCTCTCCCACCTGAGAAATATCTCAGTCACATATTCACACCAGGGCATTAAACAGACCTGCCGAACTCAGAAATTTTGCTTTATATGCCCTTCATAAGTTATTTTCTAACATGAACAAAAGCAGATGTTACGTCCACGCTGTACACTGAAATAACTCAGCATTCATACCCCTATGTCATTTTTAACATGAAAGAAAATTGACAGGTATGTCCTAACTGCGTCATACTCACCATGTCAAATTGTGATGGCAAACTGATCAATTTCTCTTCAAATCATTTTCTACATTTGAAAAGTTGAAGAGCTGGTAATCTATGTGATGAATTTCATCATTGTGGCCTAACCCCTTTCTGGCTCAGCTGCTCATCAGGCAAGAGCGTCTTATTTGCAACATCTCACATGATGCAACCTCCAGCCTGGATGTAACCATCCTTTTTTTTTTTTTTTTTAAATAACAAGAATGTACATTTCACATTTCGTGGAACCCGTTCTGCTGCTTTTTGATTGTCAGTGGCCGTACATGTAATTATTGAAGTGGGATTAGTAAGCACTGTGAAGGATTTAGTGGTTTGAAGTGAATTTCAGCCACACGAAGGGAGGAAGGGGAGTTGGAGGAAAATATTTGTCATTGGCTCTCTCTGGTGGACAAAATGAAGAAAACATTTTGTATTATTTCTGTTCGCAGTAAATTATTAATACCATTTACAGGTGTCCCCCTTCATTGAAGTCCAAAGATTTTGCATTATCTTAAATGTGAATCCTAATCCGTTGCATTTTTTTTGTTTTTACTGATAGTTTGTTAGAGCATATTAACAGTTTTCTAATGTTTATTTCCACTTTCCCTTTTTCATCGGCCTTATGGGTGTGCTGGAGCTGACTGGTACGCACACATTGAAGCCTACGAATAGTTTAGCCCCCAACATGCACGATTATGGAATGTAGAAGGAAGCCAGAGTGCTCGGAGAAAGTCCACATAAGCACGGGCGGACATGCAAAGTGTGAAATTCGAACTGTGAGGTGGTCGTGCTAACCATTAGGTGACCATAATGCCACTTCAAATCATTAATACAGTATTTTCACTTTTTTTTTTCTTATAGTTTGAAAGTTTTGTGACCCAACCCGGTAAACAAAACATAAATATAAAAGTATGATTTACAATCATGCTTTATTCTTTCTTATAAAATAATCAAATAAAAGTGTCTCGCAATCCACTGCTTTTTACCCCCATTCAACTCAACTACACCATCTTTACATCTCTTAAATATCTTTTTTCTTTTTTTATTAAGTTTGTGATTCCAAACCAAAACTTCATTGATTGTCAACACAAAGAAAAATCTATTATAGCACCAGTACAATAAAACTGTACTTTTGCTCGCTCAAATACTGTTCTGAAATCAGAGTCGGGGGGGAATAAAGGGATGCTAATAAGTACGTGAAGCACCGACCATACAAAGCAACTTTCCATACATACACAAGAGGTCAAATATATTAAGGAATATTAAATAAAGCACGCCAAAATGAGGTGTCGACAGATGCAAAGAACACGGCCGCGCGAGTCCGCTCCTGAAAAGTCCCAAAAAAGTGATTCAGCGAGGGAACGTTGCGGGGTCTGTGTCGTTGCACCGTTGAGGTCCATCCATCACAAAGAAGATGCAGAAGAAGATGGTGGAGTCAAGGTGTTTGGGAAAACGGAGGAGGTGGTGGTCGGAGGAGAGGGGGAGGGGTCCAATGTTTGACTACAGTGCGGCGGTCTCGTCTCTGCGGACCACCCACTTCTCTTAAAAAGCCTCGGATCAAGTCAAGTTAGGAACCTGAAAAGTGAGTGCTCGGACGGAGATGTTTTGAGTTTTGTCAGATGTGGGGCTACCGATCTCGCGGTTTCTCCTCCTCATCCTCTTCATCATCGTCATCGTCATCTTGTAGGATGTGAATTGAGGAGCCCAGCAGTCTCTGGAGCTCTGGAACACACCGCACCAAATCCACCAGCCCCTCATCCTTGTCGTCTTCCCCCTCCTCATCCTCCTCCTCTTTGTCTTCCTCTTCTTTGTCCTTGTTGGAGGAGTCCAGAGGCAAGCCTACCTGACTGACTAAAACCTGCCGGCCGAGCTCAGCGCGAGGCAGGCTGGCCACCTCCAAGTGAGGGTGGCGGGCGCGAAAAATCCGCGCAGAAATCTTCAGGCGCTTCAGCACGTCTGACAGCAGGAACCAGTTGCAAAAGCTGCAAGGAAGACAGACGGAAAGTTTGGAAAAGGGGACAGCTGATGGAGGAATGTTTATGACTTTTTTTTTTAGAAAGTGAAAATATTTCTCTTCTTCTACACAGTGAATATAAATGGGCTACTCATCCCTGTTCACATTCCAGGGTTTTGTGATTTAGTTTTCATTTGGAGATAAATCATTTAAAAACATTTTCCACCATTGATGTGACCAACAACCTGTACAGTGTGAGAGCAATCACATCAAATTCAACCCATCCGCTTCCCATTCACACATGAGACTTTGTAACATAAGTCACATGACATGAGAAAAGGCAATGGTGAATTGCACCCAAGTTGAACATTTTCACGTCAGCATGGACTCACTTGTGTTGTCAACTATTTCGACATGAATCGGATGGTGCGTTGAGTTCTTTGAGGGCTACCACTTTACTTTGTGACAATGTGTCATTTTACCAGTGTCCCATTGAAAATACGAATAAAAGATTTACAAATCTGTATACGGTGGCAAGGGTGTGCGGACTCCCATTTAACAAGAAAGACGCTGTGTTAACTCACCCCTGCGTGACAGACACCTGTACGTGGTAGCAGGGCAAAAGGGGCTCAGAGGAGAACTCGAACACCAGGCTGTCTTTGCTGGATTCCCCGTCGGCATTTACGCTCTCGCCCTCCGCACACTCCTGGCCCTTCTCCGACAACAGGAAATCCCAGCAGGGCTCCTTGTCTGTCTCTGCGTGGGAGAGAAATGATGATAAAAAATAAATATAAAGGCTGAGGCTCAAGTTGCAATTCATATACTGTGTGTGTGCGTGCGTGCGTGCGTGTGTGTGTGTGTGTGTGTGTGTGTGTGTGTGTGTGTGTGTGTATATATATATATATATATATATGTATGTATGAGAGCAGCGTTATGTTCAAACTGTGCATAATGTTACAATGGCGCTGGTGAATTTGAATGTTGGTCCTAGTGGTACTTAAAGAGCTAAGTGTTTAATTTAGGAGGTACTTGGTGGGGTAAAAACACTCTTCAAGAATAGAAACAGAAAATTCTGGTTTATTTCCCACTGCTTTTGTTACACTAAAACAATCAAATTGTTTCAGCATTCCCCTCACATAATTGGTACTCCTACTGCAGCAGGCTTCAACTCGTCTTCCTCTCCCCCTGAGAACGACGGTCGGTGCCTCTCGTCCAACTTTTTCTAACCGCCAAACAGGAGGGATTTCCTGTTTTCCAACATTGGTACTGAACTTACCAAACAAGGAGCTGCTGTAGAAGTCCCAGTGCAAGGTGGGATCCTGCTCACCGCGGCCCTCCAGGTCGGTGAAATACTCTGCAAGAACAAATGGTGGGAACAGTGTTGTCATGCCAACTGAAACCTGCCTGCAGACAAGTGCTGACATGAGTGAGGCGGTATCTTAAGTCCTGACAAATGTGATGAATTGTAAAATCGACTGCGGCCAGAGCAGAGATTCGAACGCCCAAACCTCGAGACTGTGAGGCAAGCATGGAGATTAATTTCCATTCACTTATAATAAGGTACACTACACAATCACTACTACATCTTCCCCCCCCAAATTCCAAAAATATGGACACTGTTCACTGTTGACTATATTTGTGCATAGCTGTCAATGTGAGTGTGAGTGATTATTTGTCTATATGCAGCCTGCAATTTGTTGGCGACCTGTACAAGGTGCATCCCAACTGCAGCCTTCCTGACTGATGAGAAGATTGTGCATCATGATTTTATCACGCAATTCATTTCATTGAGCAGCTCCTATTATACATGGGTTCATTAAAAAAAAAAAAAATCACATTTTGCAGATGTCTACTCATACTTTGATGTGGTACGAAAGCCATACATACAAAATTCCCGCAGGATATTCAATATCTCATGTTACACATTTATTTATGTCGATTGGCTTTTTGTTATATTTTTGATGGGTGCTGCACGACAATATTTTTCTAATGCAAAATATGTGCATGGCGCAATAAAAGTTAGGCAACGCTGCCTTCTCGAACCCACTACAGAGCCCAGCATAGACTGCCGATCGCAAATGAGTCAATCAATAGATTGATCATCAGCAATTCAGATACTTCACGATTGGAAGTCATCAAAGCACGTCTGAAAGGAATAATTGTCTTGTAAATTATGATGAGACGCAGCAGAACATAAATCAATATTTTAGTGGGTTCCAAAAAAACTTTTACGTGTAAAGAAGTGACACCAATATTTGATTTTTCAGCTCATATATTATTGACCGCCCTTTTAACAGCCTCCCATTAGCTTCTGCTCCTTGTGGTTGAATTCAAGCACCCTCAAAAACGCTTAAACGTTACCAAGGTGAAGTCAAAGGCTGGTGGCGCTCACCCGTGAGGAAGGTCTTCATGGTGGTGCTATGTGCCAGTTTGACCGGCGTGTGTCCCGAGTAGGTGGCCAGAGTCGGGTCTGCGCCGTGGTTCAGGAGCAACCAAACGATGGGAAGATTGTCGCTCGCCACCGCATCATGAAGTGGTCTGTGGGGGACAAAAACAACCAAAAATGAATACAATATTTTTTTAAAAATCCCTCCGTTCGCCCATTATGCGAGCCACTCATCCTCATGACGGTCGCGGGCGTTGCTGGAGCCTATCCCAATGTTATAGAAAATTTAAAAATGTATTTATTTGTCTGATGATATACAGTAACGGAGCAGGCAGAGACATCATCACTTGGGGGTGGAGGGGCTCCTCTTTAGTATATAACAGTGAACAGTGCTGGTGCACCAAAGACTAACTGCGATATAGCAAGTGAGCACTGTCCATTTTCGTTTCTTTTGCCATGTACAGAAGCCTTACCGTGTTCCATCTTGAGCGCTGCAGTTAACATCGGCGCCATGTTTCAGCAACATCTGGACAATCTGAGTCCAGCCACGAGAGGACGCCTCGTGGAGGGCCGTGTAGCCCGCGTTGTCTCGCCGATTCACCTCCCTGATGTCCTTTTCTAGACAGTACTGCACCACTTCCTGATAAAACAACCCCGCCCCCCAAAAGGTCAAATCACTGTTGAATTTAATAGTAAATTTCATGTGATTTTTACCTGATAGCCCAAACGGGCGGCACGTTGCAGCAACGTTTCCCCGGCATTTTTATTGACAATCAGCCGCCGCACTTCTGGAGGGATCGGACGTTTGGGAGGAGACTCTGGGCTGCTGTTTTTTCCTGACGAGTTCTTTTTGCTGGGCGGAGATGACGGCACGTTCTTGAAGAAGGGCGCAGGGGTGCTGTTCTCTGTGGTTGAGTCCTCATCCAGAGCTGCGGGGATGGCGCCTTTGCCCAAGCTGCCGCGCTTTGTCTTCGTCTGAAACACAAGAGAATAGAGAGGAGCGATGACTCAAGTCAAATGGAACGCATTGTGATCTCGGTCAATAGGTAATCCGAACAAAGGACCAGAAGGATTAAAAAAAAAAAAAAGACAAACGTTGAGCCACAGGGGGGCACTGTTGGCTTATATACTGTATTCGTCAAACAGCTGCATTTAAACATTATAGAACCTGAAACATGCATGACTTGAAATGTCTATTACTACTACTATTAGTTGTAACGTAAGCTGATTTGCATACAATCGACACACGGGAGTCAAAATCATATTTTTATCATCTTTTTAAGTATACTAAAACGAGTTAAATGTCTCCGGCAGTCGGGAGTCTCTCTATTATCACAAAAAAACACTATGACAAAAGAAACAAAATGATTGGCTCAGAAACAAAACGATTGGCTCAGACACAAGGCTGGCTGGTAATGCCTAAAAATGAAATTGTTTAAAAAAAAAAAAAAAAAGTCAAACTTTAGAGTAGTGCAGTTTCACTGTAGTACCACGTTGTGCTGCAACATGACAGAGAGCACTGAGATCTCCCGGAAGAGTGGCAGCAGAAATCAGAGCAAGAAGAAGAGGCCGAGACGATCCCCAAGAAAGCTCCAGTGATAGTTGTTGTTACCACAGAGCACAAGAGAATACAGTTCTGTATATGCCTTGGAACTCTGATGTTGCTGATCCATGTGCGTTATACTGTAGTAGCAGTTGTTTGAAGGTCTTAGGAATAACTAACATCACAAATGTGAGGCAAACATGCTAACAACTGCTGTAGTGAGCTGCTGTTTTTGTTTGTTTAAAGGCAGTAAAAAGCAACTTCAGTGGCAGTTGACTTCAGAGGTCCAGTGGTAAAGAGAAGCAGAACAGCTCACCTTTTGCTCCTCAATGTCACACAAGTGTTTGCTTTTGAACTTCCTCTTCCCAGAAGGCTTGTCGTTGGACTCGAGCGAAACGTCGCTAGCTTGGTAGCGGACCGAGCCCGAGCGTGTCAATGAGGTTCTCCGTAATGGTGGTTCTGGACTGGAAGCGGCAGAACTTGGACACTGAGTCTTCTGGGAATCTGCAACAATCGGGTTGCATTTTGTTACCATTTAAAACACCCCTTTTCAGGAGAATTTTTTTCAAAGGCTCACTTTATAATTCTAACGCCAATCTAGATGCTGTGGGAATGAAAAAGTTGCCCATCACCCCCCAAAAAAACAAACAAAAAAAAAAACTAAGTGATACAAGAACCACATTATACATTTTTGAGACAAAAGGTTGTAATATAAGAGAGGATGTTGATTTTTTTTTTCGGAGAAAAAAAAGTTGCAATCTTACATTTTTACAAGAATAAAGACATATTTTGTGAAAATAAAAATTCAGAATTTTACAAACACTGGTTTGGATTGGTTAGATGTTGTTACTGTTTAAAATAGAGGTTCACAAATTTTGGGATCTGGGGACACAAAAATTTTTTCCAAGGACCCCCTCAAAATCCTAATGCCACTGAAACATAGCAACCATTTGTACCCCTCAATGCGAAGGGAATTAAAAAGTTGACAGGTACGAATGTGACTAAATGTTAACAAACCATATATGAGACAGCACTTTTCTCCATATCGCAGCAATACGAAATTATTTCGCGTTTCTCGCCAGACTGATAAACAGATAATGATGTGCTCCCTGTTACCCGGGTGAAGTTTCATTTCTAGTTGAAGCATAACACGATGTCGCTGAGCAAATTTGCTCATGCAAATGATGAGTGCATTACAGTTCACTAGTGGACTTTCAAACAGCATCCTTAAACAGTATAGCGGAGGATCATGGCGAGCCGCAGAGTTTGATCAGCCGTGTGGCACCACAAATATTTTTGCACTTAAATTTGCAATGGTAGAGACCTCGGATCCATCGTGTGGTCGGCAACCACGTCAGCTCGGGTGTTCCTCGTGTCCTGGTTTGCCTGCTTCGGCACGCCAGCTGAGTTTACCTCTGACAGGGGCCCACAGCTCACATCAGAGCTCTGGACGGCCGTCACTGAGAGTCTGGGGTGAAGATTCACCACACTACAACGTACCACCCCGAAAGGCAACGGGCTCTGAGTGATAGCTCCTCGTTCTTTGAAAGCCTATCTAACGTTTACATGATTGAGGGTTGTGTCGTTAGGGATGGGAATCGAAACCCCTTTTTTTGTTTTTGCTTCCTGGTGTGCGTGTTTAAAAGTCCTCTATAACAAATAAATTAATTAGAAGAACTATGCATCAATTGATAGTTTACACTTTTTTTTTGTTGCAACCTGAATTAGTTTTGGATCAAGTTGAATGCAAAAGGAGCACTGTTAATATTGTCCAATGTTTGTAGTCAAAATGTCACAGATTGGGAAATGTATCTGTTGGATTAAAAGAGAGCTGATATCTTGGCAGGAAAAAAATGAATGTTTGAATCTCTTCTTTCACTGTTCTCAGTTGTTGTGCGAGTTGGCCTTGAAAAAACAAATATTTCACTTTCTCTGGACCAATAAGAATGGAATTAAGGCCCTCTGACATTGCAAGGTACGAAAAACTGCATCCAGCTTTTTAGTCCTATGACAATTTGAGAAGTAAATTGCCTACTTTTCTTTTTCCCCACCTTAAGGATACATTACAAATATGAGTGCATTCTGGATATGCTGAATTACCTGTCCAAAGTTGATGACATTAAAAAGCTAAACAAAAAAAAACAAAACAACAATTTGATTTAAAATGGTCCCTTGTTTATCGCAGGAGTTACGTTCCAATAATAAACTGCAATCCGCAAAGCAGGAAACGTTTTTTTTTTTTTCACAATTATTATACTATGTTTTAAGGCTGGAAACCTCAACATTAACATTTTCTCACATTTCTGTAAAAAAACAGCATGCAAAATTGCATTTGCAAAAAAGTCTGCAAAATAATGAACCCACAAAAGGTAAACCGCAATATAGTGAGGGACCACTGTATTTCATTCCCTTACCCAGATAGAATTAAAAAGGAATCAGATGAATAATCAGTACTAAGATTGAGATCGGAATCGCTGAATTCTAATCATTTCCCATCGGTGCATTTATTTGTTAAATTAATTTAGTTTTTGTTTTTTTTTTATCCTCTGGGAATTCAAATGCATTGATACATTTGTATGTATTCCTTATTAAAATATTGTATTCAATAATTTATTCGTTTAATTATAAATGTCGCTATTTCACATTGACATCTTTACTGAATTAGTCAATAATTATCCATGATTATCTGAACCACTTATCCTCTAAAATTACATTACTTTAAAATAATACAATTTTCCATGTTTTTAAACGTTTGAGTTAAATAACTGTTACTCTTCCACAGCATTAATTGAAAACACGAATTAAAAATAATTTATTATGTTCATAACAATGATTGAGCACAATTCATTTTACATTTTTAAATATGATGCTATTGTTGCTAAATTGTAATTTAAATATTGTTCTCACGCCTACGAAAACCTTTTTTTCTCTTTTTTTTTTTTTAAAGGTCACTTAATCTAGGATAGTGCGTGATTTACATCTCAGGAAGTTGTTAGTGGTCAGCAGTCACTTGCAGTTAGCGAGGAGAGAAGATTCAGATGATTGAGATGCTGCAATGCAACGATGACATTGACAAAGAAAAGGAAGCTGGAGGGGCATTATTTTTAAAATGGTGCAAGAAAGCTACAATGGGAAGTTCCTGCACTTTACGCGCTAAGCGTGCGTTACCTGCCTTCCCGTGTCAGGCCTCCCACTAGGTAGACAGCGATTTCCTTTTTTCTCGCTCTACTGGTCTGGTTTATTTTTCCAGTTTCGTTCATGTTACTGTAGGTTCAGTGGCGTATGCGTGCGCCTGCGTGCGTGCGCGTGTGCACTGGTCGATTGCATGAGGTTGGCTGCTTGAAAAGTAGATCTTGCGTCAAAAAAGTTTGCGTTTAAAATTCGACAGAAAGCAAAATTCAAGGTTGATTTTACAAACGAGTTGAATGACCCTATGGATTGAGGAGGTGGCCGGTAACAAACATGCTCCTACCAAAGTAAACAATGAACATACCCGCTGTGATTCCGCTGTCTGACTCATCAAGGTGCTCTCCTTCTTCCAGTTTGTCCTTCTCCGTGATGTACTCCCCCGTCTGGTACTTTCTATTACGGCAGTGTCTCCTCCTTTTATGTGCCGGGGCATCGTCCTCCACGTCGCCTGCCTTGCCCTTGTCCCGGACGTCCCGCTCTGACAACCGGTTAGAGCGCGGCCTCCCTCTCGGACGGCGGGCCGGCATACGCGGAGGAGAGGGGGAAGGGGCCCTTTGAAGGGGTGGCGGCGGTGGTGGTGGCGGCGGCGGTGGCGGAGGCGGGGAAGGCGTCGCGAAGCCCCAGAGGTCCAACCTGGCCTCGTCGGCACGTCGGCGTCCTCTCCTCAACCTCGGGAAGGAGGCATCTTTAATGGCGGCCTCCTTAGTGGCTGCAGTGGTCTTCAAGGCACGAGACTCTTCACCCTCGGGGCTGCTGTCACCATCTGTAACTGATTAAATCACATTTGAACGTTACTCTCCCACCAGCTCCCTTGTGTACAGGTGCAGGTGACGCATAGGAAGCATTCAAATTTTCAGTTCATCAACCTGAAGGGTAAGAGTGGACAGCTCAAAGAGAGGATGTACAGACAAAAGTGCAATCGACACAGACATTTTAAGGAACAAAGACGGTACCAGTTTTGTCAAGGGGTTTATCGTCTTTCCGCGTCTGCTCTTTACTCTGCGAGGAAAGTCTTTGCTCCAATTCTGATGTTTTTTGTTTCATCTGCTGAAGGAACCAGAGGATGGGATGAATGTTATTGTGGAACCAAATGACAACTTGATCAATTCTAGCACAAACAAACACTACCCACAAAAGGTTCGGGCTTTTGGCTTTCGGGTAAAATTTCAGGATGAACCTAGAATGCACAATTACCATTTCAGGTGAACTTCATTTGACCTTGAACTTTTGAATGCCCTTCTGCAATTGTTGAACGTCTCTGCACGTTTTTGGGCAAAAGGCAAAATTCCAAAGATGTCCACTTTTATACCTTTCTGTCTCTATTACTACATGCTGATGACACTTTTTGACAATCTAGATTTAGTGACTACTTCCATCTGCGAAAATCCAGTTTGAAGCCTCATTGCACCCAAATGTGAATTCTTGGCTGAAACAGAAAGTGTTTTTAAGATTAATTGATTTACATATGACCAGCATCTCACAATCATTTAAAGATCTTTTGATTTCCAGTCACTATGTGAAACAATATATAAATCTCGGGACAACAAAAATCTGCGTCATTTGAAAATTCTAATGAATATCAAACTGAAATGTAAAAGAAAATAATCTGAAGCCCTCCTTTTAGTAAATTAATGTCATGTTCAAATGTAAAATAATTTGAACCTCACAAAGGACTTGGCAAACTGTGAACCCAGAAAATATGTAAACTGACAAACTTACTTCCAAATTGGCAGAATCATAGAAAAATACATTCTAAATACGAACATTTGGTTGTGAAAAAAAATGGCCTTACTCATTTTAAAGCTTTTGAAGGGAGTTTGTCAACTACAAATTTGAGGAATGTTGACCTTATAGAGAGCGTACTTGATCCTTCCAGACATTTCAATGTAGGACACCTGTTCTACATCATCATTAGTGGTGGATAAGATGAAAACGCAAACGCAGTGAAACACAGAAAACAGCGTTTCTGTCGTCACTCAAAACACAAAATCATGTGCTCATCGAGTGACGACTGTTGAGAGGCATTCAGCGGCGGTTACACACAGACCAGCCAGCTCGCTGGTTCAGTCCTAGCAATGGGCTCGCTGGTTCAGTCCTAGCGATGGGCTCGCTTTCACGGCCGCAGGAAAGGCCATCCTTGGCGGCCAGGCAGCCTTCTCTCCCCAGGCCAATGGCCGGCTTCTGCGCCCACCTCCGGTTATCGTGCGAACAACAGGCTGCGACAGAGTCCAGGGTTTCGAACTGGCCAGCAGAGTGCCTGCTTTAAAGGTTTTTGCTCATGTCACCACAACATCCTGTTCCAGCAGTGTTGTTTCAGTGACAAAAGACTTTCAGACCAAAACACATTTTTGGCCCAAAAAAAAAATCGGTGACCAAATTTTTGGTCTACTCACTATCAATTGTTAGGTGTCATCTTGGTCTCATGATGTCAAAGACTTGAAACACCAATTCTAGTTGAACCGGGAAATGTATTTCTCGATTCATTAAAAAAAAAACACCTGTTGTGGGTTTTTTTTGGCCATCCAACTCCTTTTAAAAGAGCAGCAAGTTATGCAAATCGTACTGAAACGTTGAACAATTGGACAAAGATTATGGGTGCATTTTAGATTCAGAATGAAAGTTTGCCCGAAAGCCAAACATTAGCTCCTTTTGTGAGTAGCGTAGTATAATGTGAACAAACCCAAACATAAAGATACTTTACCTTCTTTTGGGAAGCAGGTGTGATGTCTTTTTCTTTCTCTCGAGCCGTCTTCTTTGCAGACTCCTTTGAGGGTTTCTTAGGACTAACTTTCTTCTGCTTAACAGTTTTGGTTAGCGACTCCACTTTGGTTCCATTTGTTTTTTTCTCGTCTCCTGTACCCGGGGACCGGCCCGACAGAATGGAGGCAACTAAACCTCCCCGATTTTCATCTGGGGGATCGTCTGACTCTTTGCTGTCTTTCTTCAGCACCTCCCCCTCCAGCACCTGGGCCAATTTACTCTCCAGCCTGTTACCATTTGTTGATGCGTTGCTTCTGAGGCTATGAGACTGTCCAAAGGGCTTAGAAAAACCGTGCTTGTGTTCTCCCTGATGGCTGCGAATCTCTGCATTATTCTCAGAGGTCTCAGTTGGTTTCAACCTTTCCAGCCTCTTTCTGGATGGAGGCCACTTTTCCGTGGACCAGTATGCTGGGGATTCATATGGAGAGACTTGCTTGGGTGGGGTGTCTTTGAGAAGAGTCAGAACATTGTCTTTTCTTGACACAGGGTTCGTGTCACTTGCCTCTGCACTTGTTTCAAAGTCTTGCTGCTTCACAATGGACGCGAGGTTAGAGAGCGGAGACGGTTTCTCCCACGTTTCTTCCGCAGGAATGGATGGACTCTGAAACCTGGAACTTTCAACATTTCCTTTGGGTGTTGAGGAACCTTGTGATATTTTTCTTTGAGCTGAGGATGCTTGGCGTGGAGGATGTGAGGACTGTTGCCAAGCTGAGTAAGGACCCACTGTTTTGCCAGGCCTCGGATGCGCATTGGTGGCACTTGACAGGGCCGTCATGAGGGCCCCTTTAGCGGGACAGTTCTTGGTGATGGCTGTGCTTGTGTTTTTAACTTGCTTGACAACCTGGGCGTGCTTCAGCGAGGGGAGCCTCTTTCCTCTCGAGGTCACTTGTTCTCCTTGGTCAATTATCGAAATAAACTCCTGCTTAGCAAAACTTTGGAACTCGTCTGCAAATGTCCCTTTTCCATCTTTGCCTCGAAGCGTAGAGGCCAGTATGGGACTAGCTACACCTACGTATGTTCCAGGGATATTTTTAGTGGACTCTTGTGAGGATCCCTTGCTCCATGCTGGCTTAAGTTCAGAGGCCTGGCGATTCTGTGGCCGGATCGATTGCTTTTGATGAGATCCATTTCTGTGTGTATTGGGCAAAATGGGGTATTGCCCGGCTGCGCCATACGTTGTAGAATGAGTCCTCTTTGAGTTCGGAAAGTCCATTTTATTTGACTTGCTCTTTTGAGGCTCCTTTGTTGAATGTGGAGGGTCATTTGTGCATTTTGGACGTTTTGATTTAGCTGACAAATCCAGGGGTACGTCCCTTTGCTCCAGCGAGCAGGCCACTCTTTGCTCTTCTGTTTTCAGAGCGCCCATGGCGATCTTGTCTAAGCTAAGGCTCTTTTCCACGTGGTTCAGAAGTCTACTCTGAGAGGCGATGGTGGCTAGTGCAGAGCCGCAACAAATGGCAGCAGTGGGCGACAATGTGTAGTGGGTAGGCGCCGTGGAGTTCAGCGACGGGTGCTGCAGTGGGAGAGCGATGGCCGGCGGAGTCACCACCGAGGCCGGGGACTTATGTTCCCCGACAGATTTGGCATTCTTGCTGGACGAATGATTCGCTTTAAGTTTCGAGGCTTTTTTCTCGGAAGTGGTAATCCGGTTCATGGAGAAGGGATAGTGATAGGTCCGCATGAGGGGCGTCCCTGCTACACCTGAGGTTTGAGGTTGAATGTCTTTTGGAAACTGGCTGGCAGTGGCTTCTCTGAGAGCGGCGATCTGCCCCAATGCTGGTGGGAGAGTTATTTTACAAAGGGGGGAGGAGAAATCGGCGGAAGGCAGGAAGGCAACTGGCTGGGCTGGTTTGAACAAGGAACACTGGAAACCAGGTGGAGCAGATGGTGTTTGCGTATGTGATTTCTTGCTGTGACAGGGATTGGCCGAGTCCTCCCGGCTGACTTTTATGCCACTCGACCGCTGAAGAGCGGGGAAGGCCCCTGCGCCGTCGGCCTTGATTTTAGCGGCCTCTACCACTCTTTTGTCTGTCCCCTTCTCAGCGCTGGCGGGGGCTGAGCTTGACATTGGTTCATTGTTGAGCTGCCGGGGTGGAGAAGGCTCCGGGCTGTGGTTGTAATTACTGGTGTCCGGGCAGGCTCTCGCTGTCTTGCAGTCTGTTGTCGGAGTGGTCTTGTTTTGCTGACCGAGGGTAACATCACCTCGAAACTCAAGGGGCAGCGTTTGGGGAGGATTTCCCACCATGCTCATGGACGCTTTATTTGGAGCACTGATCTCTCTGCTCACCGTGCCGCCATCCCCTACATTCATTAGTGAAGAATCCACCTAGGTAATAAAGAATAGAGTTCAAGCAGCCATTTTAATAAACTACTCCCATTCAGTAATCCAACTGTAATAAAAAACACAGATTACCTGCATAGGTGTTTCTTTAACACAACATGCCTCAAAGGGGAGCTGAGTCAATCTGATGAGTTTTCTTTAAATACAATGATAGGCTGCAAAGACAAAACCAATGAATGACCATATATACTTTGGACAATGTTTGATTCAGAATGAGACAACCTCCGAGATTAGATTGAGTCTGAAGCCAAAAATTATACAATCTCCGGACAGCAAAGAAATCTTTCGATGGAGAAAAGAGAAAATTACTCTCTACTTTATCCACATTTTGTTGGTGTCGTTGCACACGAAAAGGGAATTCCTGTGGTGTTCAATCCTTGTATAAATTGAAATTACATGTTTAAAGGTCCGGTTTCAAAAGTTTGTCGTTTACCTATCATGGTGGGGGCTTACTGAAACCATCTAGACTTATAAGACGATAACGTCTCTTTTTTTCCTCCTCATACTAACAGACAAATTGACTCCACACCATTATTCAGAATTAGGGCAGGGCTGCATGGAATTGATTGTTCGCTTTAAAAAACAGCTGTTGGTTTTTTTTTCCAGGTATGTTTCTGCGCCCTATTAAATGGTGACAAGCAGGTAGCCTCAAGGTTCTCTGCACTGATGAAGCCTTGCATGTAAAGTGAACAGATTTTTGCAAATTGTCATGATGTTAAGCAGGATTGCAAATTGCAAGCAAGCACGTGAGAACACTGATTTACAACTGGGGTCCCGCGACACAGTGTAAGAAGCTGTGGGAGATCACCTGATGTACAGGTATGCTATTTATTTACTACAAATAATATTTGGTCAACGGTCTACATCAGCAACATATTGCAACAGAACAATTAAATAAAATGATTTTGCATATAAAGTTTGGAGGCGGTCAGCTCAGGCTAATTTTGAGCCAACCCCCGGCTCAAGAAGGTCTTTACACTAAAACTGTCATCTGACCAGCGTTGTACTAGCTGGATGTCATTTTTAACTTCCAATTGCAGTATTACATCGCAGTGATGGGGTGGCGATGTACCGAAAAGAGATGGAAGTCTCCCCTAAAACCGTGAAAGAAGAGAAGAGACACAATTTTGTTAGATGATACTATGGATTTTCATAGAGGTAAATCTTGGTTCTTTTGCAAACAAGCACATCTTGATTTCTCAGGGAATTAAATGAGCGCTATGCCTTGTTTGGGGATTTTTTCCAGGAATGTCTCGAAAAATAGGAAAATAAATTTCAAAGTGAGGTGGCGACGAGTTCTTTCATGAAAGCAATACATTGAAGAACAACTAAATATACATGTGCAAACAAGCACACAATGTCACTGAAAGTGTTTGAGCCATGTTAATGACCAGAATGTTACAACCTCTGCCTCAATCTGAGCTAGGAAAACCCCTGAATTCTCTTACACTTGAGGGCACAAGGTACATAATTAACCCATGTATCCACTTTTTGTGACATTTTTCTTTAGTGGTGTGTTGTAAGATTTAGTCTAATGTAAGATATGTGCCTTAACTCAATAAAGGTTGGAAAACACTGCATTGGAAGACACGTAAAAAAGAGCACCAAAAGTAAGCAAGTACAGGTGAGTTCTGAGAGCAGTTCTACACTACAACGAGACGAGGCGGGAAATATTTTTCCATAGGTAAGAAGAATAAATACATCTCCTTGGGGTCAGTCCAGAAAAAGGGGGCAGTTGAATTGAAAGACACCGTCTTCAACGGACGGTGCATTCGTGGCTTAGTTGTCCTCTATGTGGGCCAACACATGCACACACTGAGCGGTGCAGTTTATTGCGAATGCAGCGCGCAGCTTCGCAGCCTACTTTCGGCTTTCACTGTCCAGCACGGAAGGACGGAGAGCGCGGTCAAGTGCAGTCGGAACCTCGTAAAGCTGCGAACATCAGTCACAAGTCTGATGAGGAGGACAGCAACGACACGGGGGTGGTGGCAGCAAAGGGAGTCCGTAGCCCCCC